AGTTCGTGCACTTGATTTATCTAGAATTGATTACTGCAATTCATTGTACTCTGAGTTGACTGTAATTGCTGATTCTCTAAAATTACAGAAGTTGCAGAATTCTGCTGCACGTCTTATTTTTAACATCCGATCCTCTCATACTCACACTTCGCATCTTCTTCGTGAACTTAATTGGCTGCCTTTTAGGCAAAGGGTTTATTTTAAATTAATGGTTCTTGCTTTCAAATCACTGTCTGGCCTATGCCCACTATATATCTCTGACTTTTTACTTGTACGTAAAAAGCAAATTCGTACCAGATCAGCTTTGAATGTTAATTTCCATCAACCTAGCTTTAACAAGCGTATTGGTAACAAATCTTTTTCATGCGAGGCGCCACTCTTCTGGAATAACCTTCCAGTGCACATTCGATCTTCACCATCTGTGGCTGTCTTTAGGTCTAACTTAAAGACTCATCTCTTTAAATAATTATCCCATTTTTATTCTTATTTTTATTTTTATTGCATTATTTACTCATGTTTACAAGCTTTGCCACTGCTTCTTTTGATTTGTTTACTTGTTCTGTGCTTGGGTTAGGCAATGATCACGGCTGCTTGTGGGTTGTGAGGTGCCTAAATATGTGGGGGTGCAGCGCTTCGTATCTGCAAAGAAAGGCGCTTTACAAATGTTCTGATTGGATTAGATTGGATAAACTTTCTTTATCCATCTACATGAGGGAAAGCTATTACAGAAACGGTTTGTCATGAAAAATTTACTTTTGGGGTATAAAAACAAACATTTTACTTACATTTCATGTTACAAAGCATAGATAACCGGTAGTGGATGAATCACATAAGATATAAATAATTTGACAGTAAGTAAGTAAACTAGTCATTATTATAATAAGTCTTATATGTAAATTTTGCGTCACAAACCAAAATTCATGGAGGAGTGGAAGGTACGCATCCCTTCTGGATCTCCTGAATCGACAATCATGCACACACGTGAAAGTGGCGGATTCAGGAGGGGATTGAATAGGGTGGCTATACCTCCCCTTCATTCTAAACAAAATTCCCAATCTTTGGTCTGTGCAAATAAAAGAAGGAAGATACGAGGTGTAATTATTTATGTAGATTCTAACTATTGGTGTTGCATTTAAAATAGGGATTTTTATAAACTACTGTTTCAACTTGCATTTAATTTTCAGTTTTCACAACCCGACTGGATAATTTTTTAAAATGCTGGTATCATTTATGTGACTTAAGGGGCTATTTCCATTTCTGTTTGATACATTTATCGTATGTTATACCGGTAGGCCATGTCTAAATGCATATTTAATTTAATTTTTAAGGTCAAGATGTGCTTTAGAAATTGATTGTGTATTGTATTTAATGCTTCGTTCCTTTGGTAAATTCCAGCACTCTCGTGTTCCTACAAGTGGTCATAACGGTGTGTCAGTAAAACGATAAATTTCGGAGTGAGAGTTGAGTTGGAGAATTGCATGAATGTTCGTTTTATTTTTAGGTTGAACATAGGTATGTAATACAATACGCGCATGAAAGTTTATTAAGCAATGCTCTATTATTTTGGGGAGGAAATACCACTACCAACCTCAGTCCCCACTCCCTCGATGGCCACTATCCTAGATACAACACTGACACACATCATTTCAAAAGAACACCTTTTCTGAACTGCTTAAAAAAGTTCAGTTTTTGTTTCGTAGGCTTTTCTTATGAGATCGCCCTTCTCCATTTTGTTGACAGGACTAAATAATTTAAAGTTTGTTTGGGTTTTGTGTTGAAAATATCATGCATAAGAACAAATATGTAGGCCTATCCTTCAAGTTTATTTAATAAAATTATAGTTCAAAATACCTTGTCGCTTTACCATAAGCAGGATAAATCCAATACAGACCGTTACTTAATTTAACATTATTATTGGGCCTATCACGGGCGTTTGTTAAAAAATCACTTGATTAACTTAAGAATTTTGTACTGATTTAGATTAAGAATGACATCATTTAAAATTCAAAGCATGTTTTCGTTGGTTTTCATTCGGACGTACTGTGGCTCACACTTTTTTAGTAGGCCTATTTATTTCTTCATTTCATCATTTCTTTCGATCATACGCCTTGGATCCTCTGTCAGACTCGTTGCCCCCCCCCCTTGTCGGCATATGCCTATAGCCACCACTGCACTCAATTAAAGTAGGAACTATACAGAAGTTGTTCAGTGAACTTTTCCCCATTTACCTGTCCTTTCAACTTCTATACAAACACACTCGAATCACGACACCAGAATAAATTCGACCGGTTCAGTAACTTTAGATCATGTACTATTGTTCGGAATGTTTACTGCCACCTTCATTTATTATTCAACAACAAAATATTATATACCTTTAAGTGTTTGTGTATATAAAGGCCGTACCATGCACTGTGGTGCATTTAGTTCGAAATAGAAGCCAAAATGAAACTTATCAAATGCACTCTCCTAACTTTGGTGTTCTTGATTGAGTTGTCCAGCATAATTTCAGGTAAGACCTCAACGAGTATCAATGCTTATAAGCTTATTTTTAAGATTAAGATGCATAGGTATCCAATACTGTAATTTTGCTATTTTAAATCTAGACATTATAACACGCATTTTCCACATGGAGGAGATTCAACAAAGAGCAAAAAGTGACTGTAGAGTAGGCCTATTCCCTTTACAGAAGAACAAACTGAATCAACGTTGGCATCAAACACACAAACACGCTCTCACTCACAACAAACACACAGAGGCAATAAGAAGCAAAGCATATATAAACAATTGATTCGAATCGATTAATGTAAACTATAATGTACTTGACTTCGATATCTCCGAGTGGTAAGAGGAAGTTCGGATCCATTTTAAAATCTGGGATAATAGAACAGGAGCAGAACATGAAACCCGAAAGATAACTTTTGTATTCTTTCTATTCTATTTTTTTTCAAAATTTAGGCCTACGTATACGTAGGCCTAATGCTGATGTTGCTCTTTGGTGTCATATGGTGAGCTATAATGTTTTAAATAATAGACCCTATAACATTCTAAAGCCATTAAAGTCTTGGAGAACAGTTTTTGTTTATCATTAAACGCGGCATTGTTCATTTGTATTAAGTGTTCTGTTCCGTATCGTCGATCGGGTACTGTATTTCCAAATATTATGGTTAAATAATGTCTGGTCTACATGTTGTCTTAACACATTGTAATGCTACTGTAATGATGATACCGTTAAACCTCAGATAGATGCCATTGGCTTCTTTTTTGAGGACATTTAATTGGATGGTTTTCTTTTTGAGAAGGGCTTCTTTTCGTGATGGACTTCTTTTCGAAGTAACTTTTACATGAAGGCTTCTTTAAAAAATTATATTGTAAATATTTGGAATTGCTACTAACCCCACAATAAGACATTTTTTAACCATCGAATTCGAAACATTATTGAATATTTTTTTTAACTCACATATGATAAACATCAATTGGCAACCAATAACTTTGTTTGGACCAGAAAATGAGCAGCCTCCGTGGTGGCGCTGAACGAAAGACGGGGTGCATGAGGGGGTGGTTGGTTTTGTAATTTTCTCCTGACTGATCCGTCGCCGCCACCTCTCTTGTACTGTAGGCTGACGAGGCAGAGTGAACTTACGGTTTGCGATGGTCATTCCCCAGTTATCGTCAGTACGGTAAGTATAAGCGTCTGCAGCCCATGATTGATCGGCGATGATCGTTTACTGCCCATATTCCCAATGATGATCTTTGTACGGTGCCCATAAGTGTCACGGCAACAACTGTCGAAATATCACGGCACACTTTCTAAATTCACGGCAACAAATTTCGAAAACACAAAAGACACACTTTTAAAAAGCACAGCACACTTACAAAATTCAAGGCAACAACTTTTAAAATGTCACGGCAACGCTCAGTCTCGTTTACCTTGACTGATGACGCATGTTCCCGCCTGCCGCCAAAAGTTTTAAGTAATTTAAATTTCTATCACTTCTTCCATGAACCTCATGGGGGAAGTTGTAGTTTCCACGGCGGAAGTTGTGATTTTGACAGTTTGACGACGGACATTTCGAAAGTTGTTGCCATGAAGTTGTTATGCAACATGATGTCTCAGAAGTTGTTGCCTTGACATTTCGAAAGTTGTTGCCTTGAATTTTGAAAGTGTGCCTTGGTTTTACAAGTGTGCAGTGAATTTTGAAAGCGTGCCGTGACTTCATAAAGTGTGCCGTATGGTATGGAAGTTATTTCCGTGAAACTAATATGGGCCACCGTATTATCTATTGCTTATATGTTTGCGAGGATTATTACGTTGTGGGAAAATCATTACGTTGCACGATTATGGTCTTTGGAAATGTAATAGTCCGTGATAAAAATTGGTCTAACGGTGACTGTTTATAATTATTCTTGGCAGAACTCGTCAATAATTATTAGTCATTTGTTGTTGTTTTATTCCATAATTCTCGAAGCCATCAAACATGGCGACTGTCCAGTATCTGAAACACGAACAAATGAAACCGTAGGAGCATGCGTAGAACTCTGTGCAGATGATGGTGCTTATACACATCTAGATGTGTATAAGAGACAGTTATTATAATAAGTCTTATATGTAAATTTTGCGTCACAAACCAAAATTCATGGAGGAGTGGAAGGTACGCATCCCTTCTGGATCTCCTGAATCGACAATCATGCACACACGTGGAAGTGGCGGATTCAGGAGGGGGTTGAATAGGGTGGCTATACCTCCCCTTCATTCTAAACAAAATTCCCAATCTTCCCTGAAGCTTGCTTTTGTAAACCGCTTATAAACCTACGGTTAACGAAGGAGAAAACCCAAAAATATTTTTAAAATGGTCTATCCGTCCTTTAGAATGAGTGACATTGCTAAAAAAGTAATATGACTGAAACGGGAAGAACGTGCAATCGTAGGCCTACAATCAGAACCATATTTTCTAAAAATAACAAATAATTAATAAAAAACTTTGTATTTCTTTTTGTCAGTTGAGAAAAATGGAACCTGTCCTGTTGTAAATAGCGATTACTTTGGATTGTGCGTCGAAGCATGTAATGGCGATGCCACGTGCGGAGGGAGTGAGAAGTGTTGTTCCAACGGCTGCGGACATACATGCATGGAACCACTACCAGGTACCTGTAAGTGCTTTGGAAATTTGTTTATATTTCAAATTATTGATAGAGATTAAAATTGGTTTTGTAAAATGTACAATTAACAAACCATGGACCTATTAATAGGTCCATGGTTTTAAATTCAGTGTGATAATGAAGTCGCTATATCAAGTCACATCGATGACATTCATCTCTTTATATGATCAACTGATAATTATCATCATACTCTAAAATATTAATTTCAGTGAATCCCTTGTGTGCAGAGGTTATGTGTGAGATGTTTTGTGAACACGGTTTCGAACAAGACGACAATGGGTGTGACATGTGTACTTGCAAAGGTAAATTGTATCAACATGAGGTTTCATCTGCGGTATATTAGTCAACCTATTGAAATCATATTATATCATTTACCGGGTAGGCCTACCTATTATTATTGTTGTTGTTATTATGTATTATTTTATTATTATCATTATCATCTTCATCATTTCAGCGAATCCCTTGTGTGCAGAAGTTATGTGCATGATGTTTTGTGAGCACGGTTTCGAGCAGGACGAGAATGGGTGTGATACATGTATTTGCAAAGGTAAATAGTTTTACCTTTATGATTATTATTCATTAATAATAACACTATTATTATTAGCTTCATGATGATAATTATTATTATAAATCAAAGTCTGCTATATACAATTTCAATTACATTAATTTATTAATTTATTTCAGCGAACCCTTTATGTTCAGAAGTTATGTGTGAGATATTTTGTGAGCATGGTTTCGAACAAGACGATAATGGGTGCGATATGTGTGTTTGCAAAGGTAAATTGTCTCAATATCTGTGGTATATATTATTAGTCAACCTATTGTCATCATATTATTTTTATTTATTTATTATTATCAATATTATTGTTGTTGTGTTATTATTCTATCATCGTCATCATTTTAGCGAACCCTTTGTGTCCAGAAGTTATGTGCATGATGTTTTGTGAGCACGGTTACGAAAAGGACGACAACGGGTGCGACACGTGTGTTTGCAAAGGTAAATTGTTTGACTTTCATTATTATTATTTATTACTATTAAACATTATATTATTAACTTCATGACGATAATTAGCATTATAATTCAGAAGTTTGTGAAAGCGGTTTGGCGTAGCGGGAACGGTTGGTTTCCCAACCTCGTTTTCGCTTGTGTCTTTAAGCAAGACACTTTATCTGCATTGCTTCTCTCCAGGAGTATAAATGGGTACCGTACCTGGTGGGGTTGTCTGTTCCTGCGCTGATTACCAGCAGCAACACTTAGCATATGGACCTAATGGCAAAGAAAAAGAAGAACTGCACTTTATAACAGCAAGGAAGAGGCTAGGCGCATTATAAATGCCCATTCCAATACCAGTACCGTTTGTCGGTTACTGTTGTAGTAGCCGTCTTCTTTGGAAGGCACATGAACCTCATTGACAGGATCCGTTAACAAAATCACTGCTGGCATTTACTTTGAGAGCCAGGATTTACCATTATGCTACACACATTATTTCAGTTACCTTTTTTTATTTTATTCTTTATATGTTCTATTATTTAAAATTTTGTTTATTTAATTCCAGTGAATCCCTTGTGTTCACAATTTATATGCGATATCTTTTGTGAACACGGTTACGAACAGGACGATAACAGGTGTGATTTATGTGAATGCAAAGGTATAATGCCCTACTGTGTAATATATAGCAATTATAAGTTCATTATTTCTATTATAATTTACATACTGTAATACTTATTATTATATATATTATTATTATCATTGTTGTGTATAAATTATTATTATTACTACTACTATAATACTACTACCATTACTATTAAATTCTAGAAATCAAAAATGGTCAATGTCCGGACCAAGAAATGCATATTACCAATGGGACACTTGGAGCATGCGCAGACATGTGCACTTCTGACAACACTTGTCCTAGTTTCAAGAAGTGTTGTTTCAGTGGATGTGGTCACGTGTGTGTCGAGCCAAAATCAGGTCTGTATTGACCGGTGTTTAACATGAATTTATTATAAAAACTTAAAACTGAAATAAAATCTGATAGAAATGAGATAGGTTTATATCAAAAGACTTTCGAATTTTTCGATTTTATGGGTCTATCATTTAGGCCCTATTATATCTGTCTCTTATACACATCAGTATAGCTTAATTATGATTATTATGTATCATTAATTTATTATTCGATCTAACATCTACTAATATCATTTATTAATTTCTTTAATATCACCGACTATTAGGCATGAAAAAGTTCGTGCTCCTAGTGTATGGGTGATTGTTGCTGAAATAAGTAAGATATACTGTAACTGATTCCCCATTTTTTAAACATTAAGTAATAATTTAAAAACAGCTTAAATTATTTTGTTGCAGTTGAAAAAATTGGAATCTGTCCTGTTGTAAATAACGGCTCATTTGGCTTGTGCGTCGAGGCATGTAATGGCGACGCCACGTGCGGAGGGAGTGAGAAGTGTTGTTCCAACGGCTGCGGACGTACATGCATGGAACCAAGTAAGTGCTCAGACCCTATATTCTTTTGTTGAAACTATTTTTATTTACTATTTCAAATTCGAAATGTTTGAGTTTATTAGACCACTGCTATGGCATTTTTAATAGAGTTTTGAATTCAGTCTGGTAATGACGTCATTGATCATATCTTGAATTTTCGGTGTAAAATACACCGCATATAACCTACGAAGTCTTGACTTATTTCGGTGGTCCTTTTAGTGGGGAATTAGGCAGTACACCGAGAGACAACCCCTTGCTCTCTTAACGGGATAAACGGCTAGAAATCCCATCCAATAGACGGTGTGCTATTATTATTATTATTATTATTATTATTATCATTATTATTATTTCAGCCAACCCCTTGTGTCCAGAGGTTATGTGCATGATGTACTGTGAGCACGGTTTCGAACAGGACGAGAATGGGTGCGATATGTGTGTTTGCAAAGGTAAATCATTATCATCATCATCACCATCGTTATCATCACTATAATCATTATCACCATCCACCATCATCATCATTTTCATAATTATTATCCTATTATTATTATTAATATTATTAATTATTATCCTATTATTATTAATATTATTATTATCATCATCAATATGATTATTATAGACTATACTTATTAACATCATCTACCATCATCATCATTTTCATTATTTTTATTATACTATTATTATTAGGCCTATTATTATTAATTTTATTATTGTTATTATTATTATTATTATTATTATTATTATTTTTATTATTATATTATTATTATTATTTCAGCCAACACCTTGTGTGCAGAGGTTATGTGCATGATATACTGCGAGCAGGGTTTCGAACAGGACGAGAATGGGTGCGATATGTGTGTTTGCAAAGGTAATTCATGCTCATCATCTTCATCATTGTCATCATCATCTACCATAATCATTATAATCCGATCATTGAAAGTGTTATACGATGTGAGTTTGTACTTGCAGTACCCGATGCTACTTGGGGATCGGATTCATCATTAGCAACCAAGCGTAAAATGTCCTACTGTGTAATATATAGCAATTATAATTCATTATTTTTATTATATTTTATATACCGTAGTAATTATTATTATAATCATTGTTGTTTATAAATTATTTTAATACTACTACTATAATACTACTACCATTACTATTAAATTCTAGAAATAAAAAATGGTCAATGTCCGGACCAAGAAATGTATATTACCAATGGGACACTTGGAGCATGCGCAGACATGTGCACTTCTGACAATACTTGCCCTGGTTTCAAGAAGTGTTGTTTCAATGGATGTGGTCATGTGTGTGTCGAGCCAATATCAGGTCTGTATTGACCAGTGTTTAACATGAATTTGTTAATAAAACCTGAAATGAAATCTGATATAACACACAATAAAAAATTGTATAGAAATATAAATAGGCTTATATCAAAAGGCTTTCGATTCTTTCGATTGGAAGTCTCAAGCATATAGGTACTATTGAGCAGCGCTACTTATATTTAATTGGTATCGCGTGTTTAACCTACAACAACCCACATGAATTTTACATATTCTGATTCGTTTACTGATTAGTTACTTATGGGTATAGCTTAATTATTATTATTACTTACCATTAATTTATCATTCGATCGTCTACTAATATCATTTATTAATTTATTTAATGCCTACTAGTGGCATGAAATTGTTCGTGCTGTCCAGTGTATGAGTGATTGTCGCTGGAATAAGTAAGATATACTGTAACTGAATCCCCGTTTTTTAAACATTAAGTAATAATTTAAAATCAGCTTAAATTATTTTGTTGCAGTTGAAAAAAATGGAATCTGTCCTGTTGTAAATAACGGCTCATTTGGCTTGTGCGTCGAGACATGTAATGGCGACGCCACGTGCGGAGGGAGTGAGAAGTGTTGTTCCAACGGCTGCGGACGTACATGCATGGAACCAAGTAAGTGCTCAGACCCTATATTCTTTTGTTGAAACTATTTTTATTTACTATTTTAAATTCGAAATGTTTGAGTTTATGTTAAATTTGATGTTGAACTAAAATAAGACCACTGCTATTGCATTTTTAATAGAATTTTGAATTCAGTCTGGTGTTGACGTCACTGATCATATCTTGAATTTTCGGTGTAAAATACACTGTATATAACCTACGAAGTCATGACTTATTTCGGTGGTTCTTTTAGTGTGGAATTAGGCAGTACTTCGAGAGACAATCCCTTGCCCTCTTAACGGGATCAACGGCTAGAAATCCCATCTGAGATACGGTGTGCTATTGCAACCTCATCTATCCTTCCATAGTGTCTGGATTTGATCTATAGGCCTGTTCAGCGTACACAGTG